AAAAGGCCAAGGCACTTTATTTTCAATTTCTGGGAGATCCTTTGAGGCTATTCGCTGAAATACACAAATAATACTCTTGAATCTAATTATGATATCTCGCCATAGGAAAAGCATAAGCTTTTGTGGGATCCACACGATATGACTTCCACCTTTCGGGCTTGTGTGAATGGGTTACTGGGTGTTTTCCAGCCCATTTACAGACATATTTCGAACGGTCAAGTTACCCTACGAAATCTCAAAACATAGGAACTAGTAAACGTTTAAAAACAATTTTAAAACGGTAGAGGTAACTTTTGAGTTTGGCTATGATGAACAGAGAGAGGTTATATGTCTCTTCACGAGTGTTTTCTTGCTTTCTTTGTGCAACGTTTATCAAGAGATCAATAACAACTTTCTCTATAAATTGGTTTGTTTCCAAGACACTTTTCCTTCAAATAAAACTCATTTGTTCATTATTTTTCATGCACAGTCAATATTTAATGGACGTGACAGACAACATGTGGCATCACGTGTGTGTACTATTGGACACTAAGATCGGACTAGTAACCGTATTAAAAGATGGTCATAGGAGTTTTAAGGAACGTCGCGAGAAGGCACCCAATTTTGAACTGTGGACGGAAGGTAATAACAACAGAACAAATTATTCTCGCAGGTGGACAGAAATTAAAGAAAAACAAAACAAAACAAACAAAGGGCGACAAAAAGAGAAGAGTGAGAAAAAAGAAAATACTTATTTCAAGTTGATTGGTTATATCAACTTAGTTGAAATTGTAAATTGGCCACCGTAACGAAGAAAAAAAGCGACGTTTTGAGCGTTAGCCCTTCGTCAGAGCGAATGGTGAAGGGCTAACGCTCGAAACGTCAGCTTTTTGATTCGTTACGGTGGCCAATTTACAATTTCAACTTAGTTGATATAACCAATTATCTTGTTACCCTCACCGACGCAGCACCACATTTTCTTTAGAAACTTTCAGCCTTTATTTCAAGTTGATTTGGAAGGTGAAAAATATAAAGCACACACTTTCTTGAGCTGAAGACAAGTGGCTACAGCTCGGAAAGTGGAGTACGTTGAACCGTATCTATTTCATTGCAATACTGGAGGAGAATAGTAGAATCTCAGGGAATGAAACCTTCTTCGATTTATTTTGTTTGATACCGACACATTTCAAAGATGTCACACTGTGAATTTCAAAATTTGTCGAGAAAGGTAGCCAGCAATAATAAGAGATAAAGGCGTAGAGAAAACTGTATTACGTTAAATTATTGTATTTCCTGTGTCTGCAGGGACCATGAAAATTGGCTTCAGGGAAACGAAAAAAAGTGATTTAGCTGTTCTTGGTAAACTGAATGGTTTCAATATATGGAGTTCCCCTGTCCTAATGGAAGAGATACTGCGCATGTCATATGGCTGTGGAACTGAGACAGGAAACTCAAAATCCTGGGAAACAGTCAGGAATGGAATAACAGGAGAAGTCGAGCTAAAAGACTCCAGAACTTGCAAGGACAGAAAAGGCAAGTGAAGTGTTGTGATCAGAAATAATCT